ATGTTATATCTTTTTCTATTTGTACTCCGATTGTTACAAAAAAATATCAAAATTCATAACTATTTATTTAAGTTTAAAAGACACCATTTTTGAATATATAAAAATTAAATACTTAATTCTATTAATTTGTGCTGTTTAGGATTGTTTTTTACTGTGCACATATTTAACTAGGTGTGACAGATTAGAATAAAACTGCATAAAGAATAAAACAATAAATAAAAGTGATGAAGTTTGCGCAGCTTTGTTCTAAGTTATTACTCCTGGTTAATTGTGTGCACGGAAAAAAGGATCCTAACTCCAAAATTAATAGAATTAATTTTTAAATTTTATATATTCAAAATTGGTTTCTTATGAAAGATAATAAATAGTTATGAATTTTGATACATTTTTTGTAACAATCGAAGTACAAATAAAAAAGATATAACATTTCTAAAAAAAATATTTTTTAAAGTGTTACATTATTTTTTATTTTTATATATTCAATATTGGTGTCATATGAAAGATAATAAAAAGTTATGAATTATGGTGTATTTTTTATAATAATCAGAGTATGAATAAAAAATTATATCACTTTTAAAATAAAATGGGATTTTATTTTTTTGTGGGACCACCATGTCATGTTCTCCTTTGGCTGCTTGGTACGTGTGTATCCTTTGCTACGTATATCACTTTACATAAGCCGCCACTTGGAGTGACGGTTTTCCTTACCATAGTTTAGGGGAGCAGTATTTTGAAAAATAATTTTAACCACATCTTATATTAGGAATTATTTTATTATTTAACATTATTTTAGCAAAAAACTCGATATTAAGATTAGTTTTGTATCTATACTATGATTCAATTCACTACTAGAGCCCGTTTGGTAGCACGAAAATCGGCTGTTTTGGCTGATTCTGCTGAAATTTATGAAATTCTGGCTGAAGTGGCTGTTTTGGCTGATTCTGCTGATTCAAGAAAAAAATATTTTAAAAATATATTTTATTAATAAATTATAGAAAAAATTACATGTAAAAATAGCTAAAATAGTCCTCTACAGTAACTTCAGCCAATACAGCCAGAAAAGTAACTCCAACCTTACTTTTTCTGCTTATTACACAATTCAGCACACAAAAGTAAAAATTACGTGTTTGGTGAAAAAGCTGACTGATAAGCCTGATAAGCCGAAAAAAGAAGTCTCCAAACGGGCTCTAATTATTGACTCCGTATATATGATATGGTCACTCTCTTGCTCCATCCCTTTTTGCTCCATCCCTTTCATATATTCATTGCACCATCCACGTGGATGTCCAGTACATATAATTGTATGTACTTTTACATCCACATTTTTTAATAAATGGCAACCAAATGTTTATTTTTCATTGTTCAAAAAATCATTGTAGCTTAATCAATCAACACGTTACATACTCAGTACTCACTGATTGATTGTCATTTGCCAACATGTCGACCGTCAGGGTGTGCTTTTCTCTCACAGCCGTTGGAATGTTGGACAGATATAAAACAATACTTGAACGCAAAACTCAAATGCCAATATAATATACTCCGAACTTAGAAATACGGTATAAACTTAGAGTTAATTATTAAAATAGAACTAAAAGTCATTCACTTTATACAAATAGGACCAAAAAATAAACTATGTTTTCATAGGCCAATTATGAGTGTCTTGGATAAATATACCCTTATAGCTAGGGCTGGGCAAAAATACTGAAAAATCGGTATACCGCACTTACCGTACCGAAAAATACCGGAAAATACCGGAATATTGGTATACCGTCATTTTCAGCACGGTATCATATCGTACCGATTTATTTCGATACGGTAACGGTAAATGTTTTCAAATACCGCGGTATACCGGTATAATACCGTACCGACTTCCTACCCAAAAATTACTTTAAATTCTACAATATTGTAAAAGTCCATTACAATTTAGAAGCCTAAACTTAATACTTAGGTTGGTTACAAATATCAAAATACAAAAACAAAGGACCAATTTTCCAAACCCACTATAACCTTCTAGGCTTCTATTACGTAACATTCAAATAAACTACACTAATGACTAATGAGTATTGTATTAATGTCTAGAAACAAGTCGATCTTGTCCCAAGAGCTTGCAAGTCGTGATGGTTGAGCCGCTGACGAGTGTGACGAGTGTATCTGCATAGGGATTCTGCGAGTCAAAACATACAACTTTGTCCGAAAGTCTTATTTAAATATTTCTTTTAAATTATAAAATGACTAAATACACAATCATATTAGGAATAAATGATTTATATCCATATTGTTTGAAAAAAAAATTATTTATTTTTGTTGGAGATCACTATTGATTTAATTATATCTATTTATTCAAGTTATTTTAGGAGAATGTATTACTTTTTAATATGTGGCATGTTGAACTACTTAAATATACTAAACATAATTATTGTTCAATATTGAATACGACATCAATAGATTATTATTAATTGTATTTTGAAACATTTTAATAATGGATTAAATATGTCGCTAGTAACACCGATTTAGTGTATTTTATTAGTCTATGGTAATTTACCGATACCGTACCGTTACCGTACCGAAACTTCGGTATACCGAAATGCGGTATACCGAAACTTCGGTAAGGTAACGGTATATAAATTTTGTATACCGAAACTTTTGGTACGACAAAGGTATGAGAGAAAATATTCGGTATACCGTACCGAACCACCCCTACTTATAGCTATTAGAATGTTTTAATTCATAATAAAATAATAAAAAATAATAATAAATCGTAAAAATACCAAAGAATTAATAAAAATATTTTAAATAATACTACATTCGTCCCATTGGACTTTGCACTCTTGGAATTAGGTGAGAAATAAGAATAGTAAAAATTGTGTGGTTGAGGTTTGTGTAGAGGAGAGAGAAATGAACAGAACCACAAAATAGTTACATTAATGGGAAAGTGACAAAGTTTTTTGGGACAACCAAAAAGGGAAAGTTGGCAAAGTCAAATGGGACGGATGGAGTAATAAATTAAAAAAAATGAAAAAAAAATTTAAAAATTAAAAAAATGAAAAAAAAAAAAAAAAATCGACGCCGCCTCTGCTGCCCCAACACCACCACCTCCAGTCATCTAGGAAAAAAATGCCAAATTCATTATGAATGACATATTTTTTGTAGAAGTGAGAATGAATCAAGTTGGCAGAATGATTCAAGTTGGCATTCTCAAAGAGAAATATGCCATTATTTTGTCATTTTCAGAAAAATGGTAGTTTTTAGTAAATATGACATTTTTTTAACGGGCGGAGGCGCAGGGAGGTAGTACTACCACCTCCTGTCACCGGGGGAAAAATGCCAAAAATATTACGAATGTCATATTTTTGGCAGAAGTCAAAAGGATCAAGTTGGCACAATGAAAATGTTGGCATTCTCATAGAGTAATATGATAATAACATAACAGTCCTATTTTGGAATTTCAAACTCTATTTAGTCATATTTTGGAAGTATCATTTTTTCTTTTTTCTCCCTAATTTTTTTTCTTTATCTTTATCTATATACACTTTATTCTTTTTTCCATCCTTTTGTTCTTGCTTGTCTTTCCAATTTATTATTCTATTTCTCGCTCTATTAGTATCGTTTTTTGTAAAATTTTCTTCACAATTTTTTGTTGTTGTCATTTTCTTTTTCTTCCCGTATTTTTATTTTATTTCTCTTTTACATTTCTTTTCTTGATCATTCTCTTATTATTAAAGATCTTTTTCTCACTCTACTTTTTGTTATATTTTCTTTTTATTTTCACTAGTTTTCCCCCTTTTTCTTCTTATTACCTTCTTTTATGTTTCTTCTTCTTCTTATCTTAATTTCACCCTCAATATATTTTATCTCCTCTTTTCATTGTAGTACTTTTCTAAGTAAATCAACCCATTAATTCCATCCATTGTAGGAAAATTTTTTTAATATTTTGGAAATGTAAATAAAAATAAAACATTCGGGGAAATGTAATTTTTCTTTCTTATAATTTCCCAAATGTTTTATTTTTCTTTCAATTTTATTTTTCCCTAAACTTTTTCACATAGAGCTTTTTTAATAGTTATAGAATTAACGGGTGGACTTACATAGAAAAATACGATTATACAAAAAAAGAATAAATATATTGATGGTGGAATTAAGATCACAAAAAGAAAGAAGAAAAAACAATAGTAACAAGAAGAAAAAAGGGAAAAGTGAAAATAAAAACAAAATATAACAAAAGTAGAGTGGGAAGAAGTTCTTTAATAAAAAGAGAGTGATTAAGAAGAGAAACACATAAAAAGGAAATGATAAAAAAATACATGGAGCAAAGAAAATGATAAAAAACTATTTGGGAAGGAAATTTTACAAAAAAAAATACTCCTAATAGAGAGAGAAATAAAATAACAAATGTGGAAAACAAATAAGAATAAAAGGATGAAAAAATGAATAAAAAGTGTCTAGAGATAAAAATAAACAAAGAAAAGTTATAGGGAGAAAAAGAAAAATTAAACAAAGGAATGTTTTGAGCAGTTTTATGAAAAATAGGATTATTTATGTAAGTTTTGCAAAGAAAAAAAAACCTGATATAGTTAGTCATTAACCGGTTAGATCCAACAGAGGAAGATATGGTATAAAAGTGAAATTATTCTAAGATTACAAAAGATAAAATTATTACGAAAATAACGGAAGAGTATTCTTGTAAGAATTTTCCTAAAAAGGATGACACCCCATCCCTGAGGGCCCCCCAACACCGACCGGACAACACGATGGGAGGATGTAAATTGGACTATAATCACAATCTGACAGATAGAGAGTGGGGCTCTGTCCTCGGTACTTGCAGAGGCCCTAAGCATTTTCAGCATAGTAACCCCTCATCGCAATTGCCGGGATTCGAACCCGAGATCTAATCCTTGTGGCACTACCTTGCTACCAGTTGAGCTACGCTCACCGGTTCTTATAAGAATTTTCCTAATTAACTTAGAGTATGTTTAGTTAGAATACACATCATTTACTGAGAGCAGGCACGAAATAAATACAGTGGGGGAGCCACTAGGTGGCTGGCGCCTGGCTATATATAAAGCAATCAAGAATGGAAGAATTCTCTTGAAAAAGGTCACGAGTCACACCCACTGCACTACACGACACTTCGCCACCCGGAAGAGAAGAAACTTACGGCATTTCTTACACTCTCACTTCTCTGCGTTACCAAATCTCACTTCCCAAAGATCTAAAAATCAAGTCTTGATTGGCAGATCCCATCATCAACTTCTGGGTTCAAGCTTCACTCTCTTCAAAACTTGGTACATTTATTGTTCACAGTTCTCCTGATCAGCTTCACTCGGCCTTAAGTCCTTCACTTCTGCATCATAATTTCATATTGATTTGCTCTTTCTTACTTTCCTGCTTATAGCTACTTCCATTTATTGATTTCTTGATGAATGAATGGTGATTATCATTGTATGATCAGTAAAAACCAAGTCTATGAGTTGAGAGTTTCTCTCTTGGGAAATTTTGTCAAAATTCCTCCTAGTTGCTCACGCCATGATGCTCTTTGCTACTCATTAACTTGGGTTCTTGTTCTGATTCTTGGTGTACCTCATTCGTTAATCACAGGATTTGTGTTTAACCGAATTTCCAATGAAAAATCACCCCAAAGGCTACTGATTTTCGTAGAAATTACTGCCCATGCGCAGATTGGTGTTTTCTGGCGGCTTCAGGGCTCGGCTCCAAAAACAAAATATGGAATTGAGGTCGCCTCGATCTGGCGCACCTCCTAATATTTTTAGCTCGATTTTCTGAGTAAAAACCAAGTCTTTCCACTGTAGTTTTGTAGATCTCACCCAGAACGTCTAGTTTCATATGTTTCTGAATTTTTAACGTATCTCATTGTTGTGATGAATCTGCATATCTAATGAGCCTGCTCGTGCCCATTTATTTATTGCAGTGGAGAGTGATCTGCAATGGACATTTGTGCTACCTTAAAGTCTAACGCCCACTTCCCCAGAGAGTCTGAGTTTTGGGGAGAGAGGATCAGAGGCAGTCTAAAGAACAATTCATTTGCGGGTCAGTTCGGGAAAATTTTGAGGCTTGAAGGAAAGAAGCAGAAGGTCAAAGCTGGGGTTGCATTCTCTGTTCTCACTGCTGAAAATGGAAGAGAGACTGTGGTAAATCTCCATTTACTTTTTCTACTTTGTCGAAGTACACCTTTAACTTTATGAGTAAAGAAATGGATTCATTGTATGTTTTTAAGAATCACACCTGGAAGTAGTAGAGACTACAAACCAGTTTGGTGGCCTGATTCGGTTTATTCTGCGTATCAGCAGAATAAGCATATGAAGGTGAACCAGAGCGTGTTCAGTAAGACTGAAATTGGAATGGCTAAAGTTAATAAAAAAACATATATTTTTATTAATAAAGAAAAATAATATGATAAAAAAAACTAAAATGCTCATTCTCAACAAGTTTAGCCAAAAAAGTACCTCCAACCTTCATTTTATTATTAACCAATTCATCTTATGAAATAAAATAAAAAAATTAGTGTTTAGTAATACGTCAAGCCTAAAAATTTCATTAAATTAGACTAATCAATCCATTGGATTCAATATTTTAGTGTGATTTGATTCATGTAAATAAATGAGTAACTCATACCCAATTATGAATGCTTGTTATCATCGTGTTGTGATTTATTTCCCCACGCTTTTGATCCATAAATGTGTAATGCATAGACGGTCGATGTAACAAGACGGGAGAGACGTCGGGCGGATCCCAAAAGCGTGGCTGCAATCATCCTGGGAGGTGGGCCTGGGACACAACTATTTCCTCTCACCAACAGAGCTGCAACTCCAGCTGTAAGATCATATATATGGATGGGTTTTCATATATTTCCTTCTAAATGCTGTTGTAAAAAGGAAAACTTTTATTTATTGAGTCGTGGTGTGATTGTGAATTGATTGAAATGCAGGTTCCAGTTGGAGGGTGCTATAGGATGATAGACATCCCAATGAGCAATTGCATCAACAGCGGAGTTAACAAGATCTTTGTGCTGACTCAGTTCAATTCTGCTTCTCTAAACCGTCACATTTCCCGCACCTACTTTGGCAATGGTGTGAACTTTGGAGAGGGTTTTGTTGAGGTTTAGTTATTTCTTTGGCTTCCAAACTGCATTCTTATTAATATCTGTGCCACACAGTTGTTAGCTATATATAACAAGATTTTTTAAAAAGTGAAGAAATTGTAAAATTGGGTCTGATTCATCCCAGAAAATTCTTTGATGTTTACATTGCACTTATATAATAGACCAAAACCAAGTATCATGCTTGTTTGAATCCCAAATAGGAATGATAAATAGACAATGTTGGATTAATAAGTCTTTGAGTTGAACTAGTTAATCAATTGAATTCGATCTTTTAGTTTGGTTTGACTCTAGTGCTATCATAAATTGCATTGGTAATATTATCTGTACCTGTAAATAGGTGTTGGCTGCAACCCAAACACAAGGAGAAACTGGAATGGAGTGGTTTAAAGGAACAGCAGATGCTGTTAGACAATTTACATGGGTATTTGAGGTAAGCTTCATTCAAACTTTATGAGTCTGATAATCCACTTTTCTGTTAAGTAATTGAATTGGACATTTTTATGATTTTAATTGCAGGATGCTAAGAACAAGGACGTCGATAATATAGTCATTCTGTCAGGCGATCAACTCTATCGCATGGATTACATGGACTTGGTGCAGGTGTGTCTATATTAAAATTATTTTATTTGGCATTTCCTATTCAATAATGAAAATATTTAACACTGGATTTGTTAAACTGTCAAACAGAATCATATTGATCGCAATTCTGATATTACTATTTCGTGTGCTGCAGCAGGAGAGAGGTATAAAACTTTCCAAATGAGGATTTACTGTCTTCATTATACTTTTCTATTATGTAGATATTTAAAGAGTAGTCACTAGTCAGCTCTGAAAGACCTACATCGGGTTATAAAGGAGAAACAAGTGAATTTATAAAGTCTGGGATTATACTCACTGATCAATTGGATTCAATCCTTTAGTATGATTGATTTTGCAATCTGCATTATGACCTTATTAAGCATTTAAGTGATTCAATTATGAGTTTTATCATTTCTGAAATTGATTTACTTTGCAGCCGAGCATCAGATTTTGGGCTGGTGAAAATTGATCGATGGGGCAAAGTAGTCCAGTTTTCTGAGAAACCCAAGAGAGCTGATCTGAAAGCCATGGTAGGAAAATTGGGTCATAATATCCCAGCTTGAACACTTAGAATTTCTATTAAGCTGATAACTATTTCTTTTTGTATGGCAGCAAGTAGACACTACTTTCTTGGGGTTGTCACCTCAAGAAGCCAAAGTTAATCCTTATATAGCTTCAATGGGAGTTTATGTCTTTAGGAGAGATGTCCTTTTGAGGCTGTTGAAGTGGAGATATCCCACATCCAATGACTTTGGATCCGAGATTCTCCCCGCTGCTGTGATGGATCACAATGTCCAAGTATGGTTATTTAACTTTTGTTTCCTGCATTATGTATACTCCTCCCCACTTTGTATTATTAACTTGATAAAACTGTCTTTACAGGCTTATGTATTCAGAGACTACTGGGAGGATATTGGGACAATAAAATCATTCTATGATGCTAACTTGGCCCTAACTGAAGAGGTCTTTGTTAAATATTCTTTTCTGCACTTTTCCAGTATTTAATTCTTTAGTTCTTTTCTGTCATATTAACTTTGGTACTTTCTCTGTTGTAGTCGCCAAAGTTTCAGTTCTATGATCCAAAGACGCCTTTCTATACATCCCCGCGATTTCTACCACCAACCAAAATTGACAACTGCACGGTAATCTGCTAAAATGACGTCACTATTTATAATAATGCATCCAGATTGGTTGAATCTAAGAACAGATTTTATTTTATATTTAGATCAAGGATGCAATAGTTTCTCATGGGTGTTTCTTACGAGAGTGCGCTGTGGAGCACTCCATTGTTGGTGAACGTTCACGGTTAGATGGTGGTGTTGAATTGAAGGTCAGTGTTCTTATTTTCTGCAATGGGAAATAATCTGCTAAGCCATTCCACATTGGCCAAACACAAATATATATTCTCAAATGCTTTGAGCTACTCCTCTTATATATCTTAAGATAGAATTCCAAGTCTAAATATCATCTTGATAAAATATAAAAGATCTAACCGGTGTACAAGTATAAGGGGTCAACTACTGCTATATCACAAGCCTAAAATTAGTGAACCATGAATTTTTATTCGTAAGAAGATTGTTCTTACTTTTCTTTTTGGTTCAAACAGGATACTTTAATGATGGGAGCAGATTACTATGAAACAGAATCTGAAATTGCCTCCCTTCTAGCCGAGGGAAAGGTGCCAATTGGAATTGGAGAAAACACAAAAATTAGGTAAATATACATCTAATATAAATTCAGAAATGTATATGTGCTTGTACTGCAAAATCTAAGAACAATTCCTCAAATTCACAGGAATGCTATCATTGACAAGAACGCAAGGATTGGGAAAGATGTTGTCATCCTGAATAAAGATGTGAGCTAATATTTTTTTTATCATTGTGAAGAGGTTTGTTTGTTTTTCAAATTTGATCACAAAATTTTGTGAATTTGATATTAACTCAGGGTGTCCAAGAGGCAGACAGGCCAGATGCAGGTTTCTACATTAGGTCAGGGATTACTATTATAATGGAGAAGGCAACTATTCCTGATGGAACTGTCATATAATAACATGAGCAGAGCAGAGAAAGGTTCTTGGTAAAACTATGTTCCAGTAAAGACTCACAACAAGATATTTTCTGCAAGTTTATGAAGACTGAAGAGAAGCACATCTGAAGCAGATCAAACAAAAGTGTCCCAAAAAAAAAAGAATTAATGTAGAACTGTTCAAGAGTATGTAAGATAAATCCAATTTTCATTCAGATCATTAATAATACATAAGATGGCTATTTAGCTGTGGTTGTAAAAGCTTTTGATTGTGATAGCTAGAAAGCTCAGCATCAAGTTTCATTCTCATTCTCCTTTTATTGTTAGTGTTACTCGTATTATTTACTAGTAGGAGTATTATTTTTGCATTCTTCCAAGATCCAAACACAAGAATTGATTAATGGGGTAAATGAAGGAAAGTAATCATTAATATTACTTTCCAGGATAGGGTTAGAATCTGAAAAAAGGTGGGGAGGTGGTACGGTGGGATTAATAATTTTAAACGAGGTAATATGAACAAATAATAAAGAGGCGGTAAAGATATAAGGAAAAATTGACTTTCTCTTTGTTTTCTATAATTTGTTATATGATTATATCTAGGTTAGTCGTGTTTTTCCTTTTCTTTTGGTAAAAAGTCATAATAACATCACTATGAACATTAGAAAAGGCACAAGTTTTTTTTTACTGTCTTAAAAAAGGTACACGTTTTTATAAATATGATTATATATTTTTTTCGTTATAAAATATAGAGGAAATTATAGACTTAGAAATCTAACTTATGCTTTGTGTCTTTTACTGTTGTAACATAATTCATTATCAAATCCCATCTTGTAACTAATGATTTTTTTATTGTAATAACTTTTCATTGGAAAGTACTGTTTCTGTGTTTCAGTTGAAAATTTTATGGAGGGCAACTTTACTTATGCGCATTTTGGCGGAAATGACACATTCTAGTGGAAAATCCTTAATTTGATAAGTTTTATAGTTCAAGACTTCAAGACATTATCTACAAGTAGAGTTAGAGCTAATATGTAACTTTTGAAATGTGTATTATCATACAAGAATGTGATAATCAATCTTAACCTATTCATTTGATGATTTGTCAATGATACGTTGTTTAACAAACTCGCTAAGTTTCTTTCAGAGAAAAAAAAAACTCGCTAAGGTTGAACATGCTTGTTCATTAACTATAAAAATATGGATGTAAGGAAACCAAAAAAATTAAGTTGGATTCAGCTTGAGCCTTACATTGTACACGGTGCATATATGACATGGGGGAGATAGACACAAAAGAATAAATTCATATCGTTTCTCTTTCATTCTTTTCACAATGTGTGCATCTAATTTTGTATTTGAATTTGTCAAAAAAAAAACTTATCAAAAACATTAAAACTGTTCAAATAAGGAGATGATGTTTTGCTTATTAATTTTTATGTGTCTATCTCTTTTATACCACGTATGCACCATTCAAATATTAATAAGGATAAATATATTTTACTTATTAATAAATGAGCAATGACATACAATTATAACCCTTCAGAGCTTTTTGCCACTTTTTGTCCTCCGACTAATGTCACTACACTTTTAGTACTCGATTTTGAATTTTTTTTCATTTTTAATCCTTCAACTATTGTGCGAAAGAAACTTTTGGAACCCAAATTTGAGAATTTCAACATTTAGTCATTCAACTTTCATAAAATTGACACCTTTAATCCTTCAATTATTATAATAGTGACACTTTTAATTCTCCACACATAGTGGAAGGACTAAAAGTGTTAATTTGATACTCGGGGACTAAATGTAGGAAACTCTAAAGTCAATAACTAAAAGTGTCTCTCACACAATAGTTCACGAGTAGTGTCATTGAAAGTGGATTACCAAAAGTGACATTAACACAATAGTCGAGAGACCGGAAGTGACAAAAACTCCTAACCTTTCATAAACAATCTTGAATAATTACAACCCTTAATAAACAATCTTATTTTCTTCATATAGTTTCATACTTTTTTTGTGGGTGAAACAGTATAATTGGTGTTATATACCCAAAATTGTTTATTTTTTCTGAAAAACTTTTCCCTGAAAACAAAAGAAGCCTTGAAGGAAAACTTTAAATTAAAATGTACATTTCCCTAAACAAAATTAAAAAAAAAACATTTCACCGCATTCTTAAAAATCACTTACCAATAATGGACAATTGGACAGAGGGTAACAGTGAGGAGAGATGATAAAATTTTGGATAGCTCAGAACGGACATTTGATAATAAGCTGTATAGCATAAAAAGGGCTAATTTTACAAGGAGACTAATGTGTCACTTATTCCTCCTCGGTAAAACAGAAGTAGCAAATTTTATCCATGTTAAGATTTTTTTGTAATTCCATTAACAGTTGCTGATTAATCATCTAAGTGAAATTAAAATTGTTTGTGCATGCTATTAATTATTTTGATTACTTTTGTTTAAAATATGGTCATTAAAGTTAGAGGTTTTTCCAAAGTATTACTCAAGTAATTGTAAGAAAAATATAACTAGTCACTCACAATACTAGCACAGTACGTCAGTAGGTATAAATGCATAATACTCCGTCTTAAAATACTTTAAAGAATGACTAAAACATGGTTATTACTTATTAGTCAGAATGAGACTGGTACTGTAATTTCTAAAAAATGATCAAAATGAAACTAAATTATCTAAAAAAAACTTCACTTTCACTCTCATCGTTCACACCGAACTGTCACTGAACTGTTGCTGTTGCTAGAGACTACAGTCTACTGCGGCTACCAACCTTCGCAATTACAATTTGGTCCAATATTTATGGAGGGTATGGTGTCCCAAACAGGGCGCATATTGTAAAAATAATAGTGATTTTATGTGTTATAAATTGGTGCCATATCTGACTGTCTGTGACTCTTTCTAATGAATTTTTAAAAAATAAAGAAAAGAGAAAAAAAATCCAGCAAACTTTTTTTGACAGTCACCGGCAATAGTTGTAGAAGTTGCCAATGAAGCAGGGGTGCGGGTGGGCAATTGGATAGGGATCAGAGGGAGATGAAGTTAAACAAAGGTTAATCACATTTTTTTTGAAAAACAAAAACTAGTCATATTTTTTACTTCCAAAAATGTAGAGGTAACATTTATGTCACTTTTTGAGTTTTTCTATGAAGAACAACCCAATCCGGTAATGTAACTGGGATTCTGGGAGAAAAGAAGAGCTAGTGTGTGCAGCAGTGAATTGAGCTGATATATATTACATGGAAAAGATTCTAAAACTGAATCTCTTTCCATCATTTATTTTCAATCATAAGAAACACATATTTTTGCCAGATGGGAAGGGATTAGAGATGTGTTAAAACTACTTCACTTTCCCTTGCAGTCGAAGGGAAAGTGTATTACGACGCTCACATGGCTAGAAAATTACTTGTATTATTATAGGGAAACTTGGGGCTACATACTAATCCTAAACAATTGTGAACTCAAAATAAGTAAACAACCAATGCCCCTCTAAAGTGAAGATTATTAAGACATCATCATATACTTAAATATTGGTCATACAAAGACTGATGATATTTATGCAATCATAGCACAAAGAGAAGTGCAAAATTTATATATAATTTCACAACAGCATATCAAGAAACTCACTTATGGTGGTATATTTTATATGGGGATATAGTTGTGTCCCTTCCAATCCACCAGCCGTTTCAACATCAAAATAGGTCTGGTCACCTTTGACAAATGCAGAGTATATGAAAACCATCTCCATATTGTCTGGGTAGGGAGTTTCTGAAATTAAACAACAAATTCACTCTCAAAGTATATTCTGAGCTTACATTAAGCTCAATCCTATCTTTGCAAAAAAACTTCATTTTGTGCACTTTAAACAAAGTAGTGGAGGAGGTAATACAAACAATTGACACACCTCTTATTTTTAGTAGGAGTTCCTCTTCTGATACATATTCCTTCTCCAGTTTCTTATCAATCTTTGACTCCCATACCTCAACCAACTCGTTCATAGAACAGACATTTCCTGCAGGTCTAAGGTATATCACTTTGTTCAAAGTTCGCGGATCATCCACTGTATTGATGGTAAAAGCTGCCACATCACTTTCTTTTACAAAGATACCTGGAGATCAGTTTTTGCACAGCAAAGGGCATCGACCTTTAGCTGAACGGTCTCTATCAAATGGGTAGTAGCCCCCCCCCCCCCCAAGATTTCATCAAATTACAAAATGGCCCTCTTGGTTTTTAAGAATTACAACTATGTCCCTTGATTAGTTGCATTTCTGCAAAAAGACCTTTTTAAACATTGAAAGATTATAAAATCATGAGCTCACCATGAATTACTCGTATTCAGACTGGAGCTAGTAAATTTAATCCATTTATCTATTAAATCTTTTTTTAAAATGTTAAAAATCTATGAGGAAAATAAAGATGGTATTTAGTCCAAAACTCTACTTCTACCAATACCATCATATTTATCATCTTTCAGTATCATTTACTGAAAATCCGATTGGTTAAGGTACTTATTAGTAATTTCTACAAATCTTGAGGGTCATTTGGAAGTTTGACCAAACCTTGGGGAGGTAGATGCAATTGACCCAAACAAATTGGTCAAATGGAATGTCATATGATCACATCTTACCTTTGGCCGTTCCATCTCCAAATATTCTGACTTTGTCTCGTGGAGGGGTTCTCAGACCGGGCTGAATAAGAGAGGGCAACAAATAACTTGTGAAGAAGTTGCAGCAGATGGAGGTGAAAGGAATGCCTTCAGCTTCTACAAGGCGTCTAATCTCAGCTTTGTTTGAATAGAAGTTGTTGTCCATGTTAGATAACCGTGTTTTGTTAGGATCCATCCCAAACTCCGAAGGGATGAACCTCTGCAACAATGTATATCAGTCCAATTAAGTTACCACATGCATTGATCACATACCTAATAATGACAATACGAGAATCTGCAAGTTTTTTTCCGAATTTCTAATTTCCAGCATAGTTTGATTTAAGAGCTCTTAAACAACATCTCAAAAACTTAATTCTGTTGTTAGACTAAGGCCACATTTAGTAGCCACTTCTAGCTTTATTCTGCTTGCAGAAGAAGCACAATAAGTAGCTTTTCACTTATTTTGCTGACATAGATGTTACTAAAACACATTGCCTTAGAGAGAGAAAACTAGCAGATCCAACCATTTTAGCCTAATAACCTTTGATAAACATGCACCAATTGTACCTGCAAATCTACAATGCATGAGCCTTCCACTCCTTGCTCCAACCATTTACTTCGCCCCAAACTCCCAGGTATAATAGTATAATACACATGGTCTCCACTACAAATTTTAATGATAATTTGTTTTAGAAAACGACAAATTTTAAAAATCAACCCCTTTATGAATATAAGTGATACGGAGTATTACTCCCTCGGTCTCCATTTTCTCTTTCATCATTTGGTCCATTGGTTGTGCACCAATTTCATAAATGTGAGCCCCATATGTGAAAAGGGTGAAAAAATGAAAGAGAAGGATATATTACGTAACATTTCACTTGAACAGAAAATAGTAGAGGAAATTTTGAAGACCAACAAAAACGGAAAAGAACATTTAGAGATGGAGGGATTACTTATTAAACATAAATTCTTTAGGAATGAGATTCAAAACTAACAAGCACTAGTTTGTGGATAAAGGTCATACCTAGTCTTATACAAAAATTTACAGAATATAAAATGATATTGAAAAGACCCTCATTTTCACAAAAAAAAATAATCTTTTTAGATGAATGGCTATTAATTTGATAATAATTGATCTCTCAACTTTTCAAAATGTACTAAGCTCAATAAAAAATGTCTAGAATACCCCCACCTCCATAAAAACTCATCTGTTTTTCATTGATGTACATTAAGAATATTTTAAACTTATGGTTAATAGACCAAAACAATGATAAAGTTAAAATGTACAAAAAGTTGTGTGAACTCATCCCGGCTCATTAAATTTCATGTGAATGGAAAAAAATCCATGGAGATTGTGTGGCCTAGGTTTCTTGCACAACGGCTTCCATCTTCAATCTATGTAACTGTCCTTTGCATTGATTTATAGTTTTAACTAATTTACATTTTTAGTTTACACCAAAGATTCATGTAACCCGAACAAGGATGGGCTTTGGGTGAAGCTTAAAAATTGTATTAATTCAAACCAGGAGGGAGATCAGTAATACCTTGCAGCAACCAGCTTTTTTTATAGCAAGAAGAAGAAACTTTTGGTCCAGCACTTGCTTTGAAGAAACCGCACAAATTACAATATCAACTAGCCTGATTGCTTGAATAAGGGTTTCTTCATCTTGCAATGAACCCTATGAAAACATTAAAGTAACCAAATGAGAATTAAAGAAAAACAAAAATAGGAACAGAGAAGCGGTGAGGAACCTTTAGAAGAGTGACGCCGGAGTTGGAAAGTAAAAGAAGTTTTTGGGATTTTTGGGGATCGGAATACGCTGAATCTCTAACTAGACCAAATGTAGGATGAGATGATTTGATGCTGGCGTTAGCAAGCTCAAAACCTAGGCGGCCAGTTACTCCGATTACCAATATCTTGCTCTTCACTTGCTTCATCATCTTCTTATACCCCGTCTCCCTATCCTAGTAACCGGAGCTCCGGCTTCCGATGGGTGATGTCAAAGTCCACTACCGCCGTCGTTTCCAATGAACTTCACCTCTCACTCTCTTGTTTGATTCTGGCAATGGGCTCTGTCCGCCATTTGGTGTCAAAGTGTCCACTGTCCACTGTCCGCTACCATTTGGTGTCAGCAGTTTGTGTGCATACCATTCGGACAATATAAAAGTTATTTTCAAATAAATTTTAAAAAAAAAATTGTTAAAAATGAAACATGGTCTAAATTGTTACATAGTACGTCATGTTTTTATTCTCTAAATAGATGGAAGCCGACTCTAGATGCAGCGGAACTCCATCACTCATACAACCGCCTTGAAAATTCCCCAACCTAGAGTCCTAGATCTCAACCTTCTTCCTCTCCATAGACCGCCTCACTTCTCCTATGCGACTTTCCCATTAGTCGGCTGTAGCTTCTCCACCTTTGACTGTAGCTTATCCGCAATCGACTGCAGTCATCTGCTCATCCAGGTACTCTTCTTCGTCGCCTCCCCACCTTCTCTTTCTTCTTCCGCAAGAAGAAGACGACGAAGAAGACGACGAAGAAGAAGAAGGAGGAGGAGCGAGAGGAGGAGGAGGAGCAGAAGCGGGAGCAACGGGAGCGGGAGCAGCGGGAGTAGCAGCAGCGGTAGCAGCAGCGGAGGCGGAGGAGGAGGGGGAGAGGGAGGGGAGGGGAGGAGGGGGAGGGGGAGGAGGAGGAGGAGGAGGAGGAGGGCGAGGAGGAGAAGAAGGAGGAGGAGGAGGAGGCTTGGTTGTGATAATGTGCAGCAGTGGTGTCGTTGATGGCGGAGCTGCGACGATGCATGCAGATCGGAGCTATAGCGGTCGATGGATGACAAATGGGAGAATGGCGACGAAATCAATTGCAGAAGATAGAGGAGAAAGGCGCGCATTTAGGTTAGGTTAATCAGGGGTAGGGGTAAATATGTAATCTTTAGTCCTATTTAGGGAATTTAAAACAATATGTCCTACTTTTAGAATTTCACCTTCTTTATCATCTTTAGGGAATTCTATCTAAATTTAATGATGATTTGTCAATATCAACAGAAGTACACAATAAAAAAAATCAATAGAACTCTGAAGTTTTTCAAAACTATTATAGAAATGAAATTCATCTTTAAAATTTAATCAAGTATTGAAGATTTCGGTTGGGGTATGACATGATTGTAGTCTTTTATGATTGTGTTTGTTTTGTTCTATGACGGTTATTTTGGTGTCCTGCCTAGCTTCGCCTCATCAATGTGGGTATATTGATTTAGTTTCTTAATTCTAATATTATTTTAACAAATTACAATTATACTCATATTAATTCATTCCAGCCTTTTTTAGGTTGGTTAACAAATAATTCCTATAAAACGATATTATACATCGATTCCTAAATGAAGTAAAGGACCGAGCATTGGGTGTTCTTCACGAATGATTTGTGCAACAAATTGAAGAAGAATTCATGACATATTGTCTATTTTGCTACCTTAAATACAAAGATTGCTACCTCCCAATAATTCTCATTCATTTGACGCATGAGTTGCTAATCAAATTTGTTGTTTTGTTCGTTTTATTATTTTCTTTATTACTATCTCCGTCCCAATATATCATTTCAAAAACTTTGAACCTTGATTTTGATTAATATAATATTATGAAAGTTATGATAGTACTTTTAACAAAGTATATTTTCATATAATTTTTATACTGAGTATTATAAATAATTTTTAAAAAAAAATATAGTCAGTCAAAGTTTTAAAAATGTGAAAGTTTTTTGGGACATACTTCGTATGTAGTATTATATTGATGATATATATACTCCGTATGATTTATATGCCCTCCATTGCCCTCCAAGATCTCCCATTTGGTTACAGCTCATGAATTACTACGTAACATGAATAAATAAACAATCAAATAACTAAAATAAAATCTTTGAGTCCTAACGTTATTTTTCTAGCATTTCCTTACATTTTATTGTGCTATTCGTATATTTGAACCTACTATAGTTGTCGAAATGTCTAAGCTGCTTTAATTTGGACAATATTTCTAGATTTGATTATATTTAAATTATATTTAAATTTTAAATGAAACAGATAAGAATTAGGTAAAAAAATATAAATTTAAACTTGATCAAAATTGGATAAAAATAAAAACACAAATTGTACTAGTATTAACTATTAAATTTTTTATTACCCCACGAAATCCCAATCTAAAGAGATTATTAGACCGTCAAAAATTCAACAATAAACATCAACCATATTGCAATCCAGCACGTTAATTCAAAAGTGGCGGCGGGGACTAGCTGTCTGGCGCCATCTAGAGGAACTTCCAAAAATAAAATCGCGTTATGAATACGTATTTTCCGGGTATAACTTCAATCAGAAATTCTATATTCAACCGATCGCACAGACAGAAATCATAATCATCGATTAGATCGAACCCATGGAATCGTTGAAGGAGGACGAAGAGTACAACTGGAGGGAAGTGAAGCTCCCGTCGCTGATACCGGTGGTTCCGCCGCCTGAACTGGACAGGGAGACCGGGGAGCGGCGAAGAGGCCGAGACATAATCATTGCTATAGATCACGGCCCTAACAGCAAACACGCTTTTGATTGGGCTATCGCTCATCTCTGCCGTCTCGCCGATACCATCCATCTCGTCCACGCCGTTTCCAGTATGATTTTATTCAAATCCGCCATCGCAATTAGTCTTCCATATATGTGTATTTTGTTCTTCTAAGCTCTAACCATTACGGAGTATGTTTATGCCAGGCTTGAGAAATGAGATTGTGTACGAGATGACACAAGGGCTTATGGAGAAGCTTTCCGTCGAGGCTTTTGAGGTTGCCATGGTAATTTCACCCTTCCTTCAACTTTATGACATTTTGTTTTCAGGCTATGATGTATTTTCTTGTTGCAATTATGGGCTACTAAATTTGTCAAATCCAGTGATGTCAAAAATTGATACTCGTGCTATTGAACTGAACTAGTCAAGGAATAAACATGATGGAATCAATAAGCCAGAATCTTTCTTAGACTATAGAGATCAAAATTGATATTAGCTGTCCTGCACTTTTTTACTATGCTCGACTGCTCGACTGCACTTATTGACAGCCATATATTGGCTGTCAATAAGAAGAATCAATAATTCTTCTTAGTTGTATTTTCTGCATTCACTATGCTCGACTGCTCGTTTACTCAAAGAACAGGATTAATAGGGTTGAGATAAAAACTTTGGATGGATGTTGGATAAGAGTAACTCATAACTCTAATATGTATACGAGTGTATCTCTCATTCACTTTGATGATTATTGATTAGATAAAATATCTTCAACCAATCAGTATTACATTCAACTGCTTACATTCATGTCATTTTGGACTTCTCATTTCACAGGCTTATTTCACTGTGTTTGGAAATAATGAGCTATTCCATTATCCATTTTTAGTAAAATTTATGCTGTGCTTGAAATAACATAGAGCTGACATGGATAATTTAATACGGAGTAATTTCTGTTGTTCTCTAAAATCCGCCCATATACTTGGAATCTTGGATACAGTCTAGGTTAATCAACCACCAGTACACCAGGGTCCCATCATTGTCAGAATTTGTAATGGTTGCTATCTATAGTATGATAATATATAGTTAATACTTTGTTGTGGTTTTGGGTTTCATGAAAAAAAAATTGGAGCATTTATTGAATCAGGTAAAGACACAGGCTAGAATTGTGGAAGGAGAAGCAGGTAAAGCTATATGCAAGGAAGCAGAAAGGTTGAAGCCCGCAGCTGTGGTTATGGGTACTAGGGGAAGAGGCTTAATCCAAAGGTCTATATTCTCCCTCTCTAAGCCTATGCTTGGAACACAGAAAATGGTTGGGCAGGGCAAAAAATAATACATGAAAATGCTTTTTTGATGTTTGGTTTTACCGCAGAATATATGCTGGAAAAACAAATTTAGTTGGAAAATTTGCAAATGTTTTCATTTATTTAGACTTTGTAGTCTTTCCCTGTACATTATCAAATAAAATGACTTTGAAATTGATATATTTAGTATGAAGCAAATAATCATTTTCCCTCACATTTTCTTTCTCTTAAGATTTCCTGTATATCACCCACAGCATTTTCTGTGTTCCATTCTGACCCTAAGTGTACTTGCTTGCATTTTTCATAATTTATGTATAGCTTGTTTTCTTGTTTCATTTCCTTTCAGTGTCTTACAAGGCAGTTTTAGTGAGTACTGCTTTCACAACTGTAAAGCAGCTCCTGTAATCATAGTACCTGGAAAAGGTATCATTTCTACCATGCTATTATGCCTTTTTTTGTTTCTCCAACTTTTGACTTATGGAATTTAAACTTTGCAAACTGAAGATGCTGGAGATGAATCAGTGCTTTAGTGGATCTATGGTTGGTAGCTGTAGCTGTTTTATGTAGATCAGGTGACCTTACTAAGTATTGTTGATTTGTTTGACCATATATAAAAGAATTACTCCGTATGTAATACATTGGTGTATTGCGATGTGTGTGTGTGTTGGGGTGTGTTGTCTTACTTGTCTATATCACTATATCAGTTAATGTAAAGCTTGTTGAAACAAATACTACTTAACTAGTTTTTGTAGTACAATCATGATGTGTACAGTGTACAATTACTAGTTTTTATGCAACATTATCTACTCCCAAACAGATCTCTATAGTGTACCAAAGGGAAAAAGTGTTTCCAGGACAAGAAATATTGTTCAAATGAGTGTACCTTGTAAGCTTACAGTTGGTGTGAGTTGGTCCATAATCATATTCTGAAAAATCACTTTTCTAAATTAAGGGACTAAAGGACAGTGCATATAATGATGATGGTTGATGAGAAACTAAAACTTATTGCAAGGACCCATTTTAAAATTTTAAATGTAGTGAACAACAAAGATGCACCGTTTTATTTTGTTAATACATCATTTTGTAAAGCTTCAATTGAGTCATTTGCTAACCTAACACTCGCTTCTGTTTTGATTATTTAGTGAATTATCAACCAAAAATATTCAAGTGAAAGCATGGGGAGGAATTAGGAGATCATTCCATCCTTTATTGATGAAGGAATTAGAAGAGACAAAACAACTTCTTTCTCTGAGATTATCGATTGCTTCAAAAATAACCTTTATGAGTATTTGCAGAATATAATAATCTCATTATTTCACATATTCTTTCCCTGAGAATTTGAATCGTATTACCATGATTCGTTTTAGTTGAATTTGCTCAAAGATATAATGATTAAATTTCATTTATAGTAAAGTAGCTAAAAACTACTACTTGATTGGTTGACATTACAAATGCGCTAAAAGATATTCTCATCTTTATCAAAAGACAGGTTCATAGAAAATTTTACTAATGGTAATGAGTGGTGAATTTGATAAGTGATACGGAGTATAACTATCTCAATTCGGATGTATAGGCCAACCAGAAAGTAGTAACCTACTTGGGCTTTGGTCATTTTAGGAGAAGCAAATATATCTTTTTTACAAGAATATTACTAAAATAAAACTTATTTACATAAATATGACTATTCATTACTACAACGTGGTGTTGTAGTAACTTAAGTTGAAAACTTGAACATGAATTAATAACTATTTCATTACTATGATTTCATTACTACTGTAGTAACTAGTCATATTTTTATAAATCATTTTTATTGTGGTCATATTCATGTAATTATTTCATATATCATAGCTTTTTTAGAAAATGATTTTTATAGTGATTTTAAAAGATAAAGCTCAACAATTAAAATTGATAACAGTAAAAAGTGATAACGTTTAGGGAAAAAGTGATTTAGTTGGGCCAAAAATGGGGCTAAATTTTGGCTTGGCTATTGGACTGAAAATTAAATGAGGTGAAATTCTATTCACAACCACTTAATAGAATATTATAAGGTATATTTGTTTCCTATTGTGTATTAAAATCTTAATATAAATAGACATGTCGGGGCTCCTATTGGAACAGCTTTTCCCGTTTATTCACATGGTATCAAGAGCATAGGGCTATTTTTTCCCCCACTTCTCTTTTCTAAAATTTAGCGCAGCCGCAGTTCTCATGGAGTCCAGTATCAACACTGTACCTGTCACGGAGGTTTCCTCCTCCTCCTCCCAGTCCATCTCCATTGTTGTCACACTCGTATTCACGATTGCGGCTTCTACGGACGTTTCTACCACAACAACGTCATCTGGCGCCGTGCTTTCCTCCACGCCGCAGCCAGAGTTTATCAACCCGATGATTGAATTTTCATCCTCCCTCTGGACGCCAACAAGTCAGTACAGCCTCTTCAACAGCATCCCGCCGCAGCTTCCATGGTCACAGGTGGTCCCTCCAGCCATCACGTGCCCAGTGTCTTCTCCATCTAACTCTTATTTTGGGTCAACGTTCGCTGGAACGCCGGGAATATTAGACCAGCACATGATAATCTTCTGTTTGGATCTTCTATGGTTACGTTGTCGCAATCCGTTTCCCACAACATCGCTAATGTGAGTCAAATTGTTACTATCAAATTGAAGGATGTTGAAAACTACCTTACACGGCACACACAATTTGAATCTTTCCTCGTCTCTCAAGGGCTATTTGGTGTTGTTGACAGCTTCATTCAGGTACCTCCCATGTATACAGTGAATTTTAATAATCAGCAAATCATTAATAAAGAGTATTATCATTGGCTTCAGGTAGACCAAACAATTCGTTCTTGGTTGTTTGCTACTCTTTCTCATGATGTATTAACTGATGTGCATGATATTAAACATTCATTTGGTATATGAGATCGTTTGCAAAAATGTTTTATGTCGGCTAGTTTACCTCGAGCCATGGAACTTAAGCGTACCCTGAATGGAATTAGAAAGAAAGAAAACCAGTCTATGGAAAATTATCTGCTTGAGATTAAGAGAAAGTTGCTGATGCTTTAGCTACAATTAATTCCCCTGTGAGTAACAAAGAATTGTTGCAATGCACGTTGTATGGACTGGGACCTGAGTATCAGTCGATTGCGGCCACCATCTCTCTTTTTCCAGTGACTTTACTCTCACCAACACTACCCCGACTTCTCCACCAGTTCTTCTTCCATAGTTTCTAATTTTCCATATAGGATTTCCTCACCTTCTGCCTCTACTCGGTCTTCCAGTATTCCTGCTTTTCCAGTAAGTAAACCCATCAACCATCAATCTCAAACCCCACCACTTCTGCCCCATGTCCATGGTCAGCCCTTCATTCCCGAACTATACCATGACAACAGCAGACTCCATCCCCTGTTGGCCTGTTCGCCCGCCCTCTCCTCCAGCAGTGCCTGAAGCTTCTGCCACCCAACCCGTCTCGGCCCTGGAGTTACAACAGTCCACGGCCGCTGTGTCCAGTTCCTCTATGTCACATGGCCAGCTTGCTAATAAACATCCAATGCAAACTCGGACTAAGTTGGGAATTTTTAAACCCAAAACCATTTTCAATCTAAACACTGTTGTGTTATCAGCTGATCCTACTTTTTTTCTGAGGCTAATAAACACTTAATATGGCGTGAGACAATGGCGGAGGAATTTAATGCTCTTATTTCTAATAATACTTGGGATTTAGTTGTAAAGTACGTTCCTACTCAGTTGCAGTTAGCTGACATTTTTACTAAAGGTTTTTCTAGTCAGCAATTTAATTTTTTAAAAGACAACCTGCGCGTTGTATCTTCCGCACAGTTCGAGGGGGTGTAATAGAATATTATAAGGCATATTTGTTTCCTATGGTTTATTAAACTCTTTTAATATAAATAGACATGTCGGGGCTTCAATTGGAGCACCTTTTCCCATTTATTCACACCACTTTTTTTTCGAAACACGGCCACATATTTTATTTAATAAATAAAATTATTTTATCTTCCCCGTTATATCCTTTTTTTGAAGGGTCCCCGTTATATCCTTCTAGCTCCTAAAGTGATAGTAGGCCATATTACCCATATATGCAGCCCTCGGTCTCCATTTCACCCTCGTTGTTCCTGTTAGACCCTAGATTTTGATGAACTATTTTGATGATGCCAAAAGCTTTTTGTTATCTCCCCTCTATTTGTAGCATTCTTATAAGTTTGGAAAATGTAGTAGTCTTGGTTATCCTCTGCTGTAACATCTTGAAATTGACTAGTACTAAGAAAACCTATCTAGATGTGTCTTGCTCCTTGGTCCATTTAATTAGACAAATAAATTTGACTGAAAAAAAACATCTACCAGTTAAGTTGTACACAATACCTGCTAAACTTCACAAACTCTAAAAGTGACAAAAACACGAATGTAAAAACTATGTACCAAATTAAACATACTGGAAATTATAAAATACAATGAGGTAATTTTTTTTTACCTTACATGGATATTTAAATCCAACCAGTATAGTTTTTATTTGATACATAAGTTCAATCATGTCACTTTAGGAAGAAAGTGATTAGTAAAATAAGTGACAAATTTTATTGTAAAATTTGTACCAAATAAATTGTACTGGAAAGAACAAAATGCAATAAGGTAATTTTACTACCTTAATAGGATATTTAAAAGATCCTACCAGTACAAAATTTATTTGGTACAAAATATTCTAAGTCACACATTTTACTACTTCACTACACAAATTGAGCAGGTTCACGCACTTTACTACATGAGTATAGTTGCAAGACAAAGCCAAGACCTAATGGCAGGTGAACAGTAAAGAAAAGGCCTAAGGTATGGGTTGACATTTCGTACGAAGCAAGTTGGCCTTCAAGCAGCACCAAAGACAATTCCTTATCCTGCTCCAACACAAGAAGACGCAAGTACAATACTTTGGACGTCTAGATTTAAATCCTCTCAACCAACGGAGGAAATTAATCTACTGGAGATGCCTATAAAAATAGGCCGAAGCATGAGTTCAAAAATAAGTCATTGAGTTCAAAGCAAGTGGTTCAGTCATTACACTACGCATATCCAGCAAAAGAGAAAGTGCTTGAACACTCTGCTTTGACTCATGCTTCACTAAGCTCTTAGACTAGATTATTCATTGTAACATTTATAGAGCTTAGGTTTTAGTTGGTGGCCAGAAATTCCTTGTAACATTTTACAAGTGGTTGTAAACACTTAGGAGAACAGTTGTTCGGATCCTAAAGTGTGGTTAGATAGATAGAGTACCTTTTGATCCCCACTGGATCAATCGAGAAAAGTCTAAGGACTGAGTAACTTTGAGTGGTGTTATACTCATCGTGAAAAACCTTCAATCTAGGCCAGGGTTGTCAAGGCTAGATTGGCACTAATTGTATTGGGCTGAATACTTTAGTGGAAATCCATTTGAAATAGAATGGGACTGGATGTAGGAGGATTACACCACCTCTGAACCAGGATACATGGTGTGTTGATTTACTTTCATACATACAGAACACACACCAAACACATCTCACTAAAGGTTTGTAGTTTGCCAGCAGCATCCTAAGCAGTAGTCTTCATCGACTCTACTGCTTAGCCTACTGCTTAATAACTCACTCTCCTTGAGAGTGTTTTCCACTAGAAGTTGTCTTAAACTCAGAAGGTAACTCAGCAGTACACTGGTCTTCACCCTCCTGCTGAGCCCACTGCCCATCCAAACGTGTCTTTCCAAACCCCATAACAAGCCAGAACAAAAAGCCATCCAAGAGTCATCCTAGTCCTCAGCAGTTGCCTCAGCAGTTGCCTGCCAGTCAGCAAACTGCCTGTGCAGCAGTAGCCTAAGCAGTTACCTGCTCACCAGCCTACTGCCAAGCCTACTTCCTCTCGTAACCAGTCTAAACATCATCTAAACTAGAAAGTTATCTCACACTAAGTATAAAGAGGTTAAAGACTTCCGCTGTGCATCTATTGATCTCTCAAAAGATTATAGATCAACTCATCTAGAGGGAAAACTTCATAAAGTTGAAAAAGATTTAAAAGTCCATTCACCCCCCCCCCCCCCTCTAGACTTTTACCTCTATCCGGGACCATCAAGTGGTATCAGAGCGGTGTGTTCCTAGAGTCAGTTTCTGACTATTTTCGAACTAAAGATCCAAGTCCACTTTTATCCCAAAACTTTCTAAATGATGGATGAACAACAAACAAAGAATCTGTTGATCAACAACAACAATGACTGGAAAACAAAGGATGCATGGGATGAACTCACGGAGAATCAATCAGAAGATGAACAAAGCAGCTCAAATGATGAAAGCTGCTCATCAGAAAGGCAGGAGGAAGCTATAACTTGCTTCTTTGGAATGATTCCAGAAAATAGTTCCTCTCACAACTATGATATGGCCAGATCTTATGAAGGTGACAATGATGAGGTATTATCCTGTTCTTCAAACGATTCATATGATTCCAACTCTTCCAGTGTTGATATGGAGACATTGCTCCATCAATTTGAAAACTTCCAAAAAGAGCACCTTAGCTTAATGAATGAAAACTACAGACTTCAAGAAAATCTCTTAGTAGCTCATGCACAATTGGGTGAAGCAATCAAAAAGATAGATTATCTTGAAAATAAAAACATCAGTTTGAAAGAAGAGCTAAGCTCCCGCACTCCCCCACTCACTAAGGAAGTTCAACACACTGAAAAAGACACAGGTTACACATCATGTTCCTACTCATTGAAAAACTCTCCCAAATACTCTTCTACCACAAAACATACTTTCAAAGAAGACACAAAGTCTCTTAGCCACCAACACTCCCACATCCAAACAGTTCCTACAAGAAGGAACATGTCTACTCCCAAACCAAAATCAAAATCCTTGTACAAACAGAAACTTCCTATCAAAAAGGAAAACCAGAGAACCAGTTGGCATATCACCAATAAGACCAACTACCCACCTAAGATGCAGCTAAATCAACCCAGAAGAAATCACTATTATCCTACATACAGGAAAGAGATGATGAACTCATACACAGCCACCTCATCTAAATACATCACCTCAAAAGGCTGTAGATCACACTGCTTAAGGAAAAATGGTTCTAAATGGGTATGGATGCCCAAATCTGTTCAAAGGAAGTTGCCCACTTCAATGTGGGCTACTACCACTCAACATTGACAAAAACAGGAAGGTGCTGGAGCAACTAAACCCAACAGAATAGTACATACATTCTAGTTGCTTGAGGCACATGATTAGGAGCAGAAGGCCACTGATAAATTGTTCAAAGGAAGAACCCAATGAACCAAAAGAAGATATCAAAGGAGTTGGAGATTCAATCAAATGAAGAACTTACAAATCAATACACTCCCTGTGTTGAGGTTTTTAAAGTTCAATCAAAAGCACAAACCAACTCCAGATCAATTGTTACATCAAAAATGATGTAACTGTGCTTAAAGAAAGATTAAGGAAGAACCACCTAGGTGATGGAAGAAGAAAAGATGAGACCATTTCAAGAAGGTGACTCAGACGCCAGACTACTGCTAGCAGAAGACTCAGACTGAGACAACTGCCAGCAGTAGGATCAGATAAAAAAGGATCATCACCAGAATCAAAGCTCCCAATCTTCCAATTCTATCTGAGGAGAATGATGAGAAAGAGGAAGAAAAGCAGCTGCTCAAATACTCTGGAAGAAACAACAAAAAGAAAAAGAAGAATGCTCAGCAATGATCTCAGCAGAGGTCTCTGCCAAAGACACCTCTAACAGCAGGAAGGTGGAAATTAAAGAAGATCGCTACAGCAATCCCTCATCTAGGATATGAATTTCTCATTGGAGAAATCTTAAAAAAAAAAAAGGGGGGGGGGGGGGGGGGGAGTCAACTGCTCAATTAAAGTGGCAACTGATTGGAGAAAGTTCCTTTCCAAAAATCAAGTCAAGGAACTCCACAAATACCAAAAGAAGGAGACTCCATAGTCTCAAATGATCTTCTCAAAAACACTCTCACCAGAATCAAATCTAAATCTCTGAAGAGAGCTCAGCCAGACAATGAAGAAGTCCAGTCAAGAAAATCCTCAAAGAAGACGGCCGCCAATCGAAATCTTTAAGCAGAAATGGAGGCAGTAGCCTCCCCATTAAAAGTCTATTCGACTCAGCAGCATTCTCACTTCCAACTATCCATGAAGAAGGTGAGGGATCTCAACATCTTGAGAAGCAGCAGACATCTGATCTTCTTCTACATACAAACTATTCATGAAGGGATTCGTCTTGGAAGAATACCAGAAAGGCTCCAAGCTGCTTGACCAGCTATATTAACTGAAAATGACTGGATTCTGGAAACAAAGGTTGAATCAAATGGCAGCCAACTGCCAGCGGGCAGCTTGAAATGCAGATCACCACCAGCAGTTGACTCAACTGTCAGCCCACTGCCAGCTGGTGACTCACCAACAAACAACCTTCCGAGCACTTATGACATTCCTAATCACACTATTCTACCAGAGGATAGTGAAGATGAAGAAAAGAAGGAGGATGACCAACAAACTCTAGCCAAAACAACCACATCTGATGTCAGATGGTTGAGCAAACATCCTCCTCACCAAATTATTGGAAGTATCAATACAGGGGTTCGTACCAGATCAGCAATTCAGAGAGAAGCATTCTTCTCATGCTTCATCTCCCAAATGGAACCCAAGAAAATTGAAGAAGCCCTACTTGACTCTGACTGGATACAAGCAATACAAGAGGAACTAAATCAGTTCGAGAGAAACAATATGTGGGAGCTTGTGCCCAGACCCTATCACCAACATGTGATAGGAACCAAATGGGTGTTAAGAAACAAGATGGATGAGGAAGGCACAATTGTCAAGAACAAGGCAAGACTAGTAGCCAAAGGCTACTGCCAGGAAGAAGGTATAGATTTTGATGAAACCTTTGCTCCTGTTGCCAGATTAGAAGCAATAAGAATATTCTTGGCACATGCAATTCACAGTCTATCAAATGGATGTGAAAAGTGCCTTCCTAAGCGGTCTACTAGAAGAGGAGGTCTTTGTGGAGCAACCTCCTGGTTTTGAAATCATTAGAGAGAAGGATCAAGTCTGCAAGCTAAACAAAGCTCGATACGGACTCAAGCAAGCTCCAAGAGCATGGATAACAAGTGAAGCAGCCTCCACAAAACTTCTACATCAACCAAGAAACTGAATAAAGAAAGATTCAGAATTCGAGTCAAAAGCTTGGGGTGATGATCAAAGTAAAGGAATTACCCTGTACCCATTCAGGGGAACTCAATTGAAAGGGAATTCCTAGCCACCTGTTGAGGGGGAACTCTTCACTATACTCAAGAAAAGTCACCTACTCAAAGAAAGCTACTCAAACTCACAGGGAATGAAGCATCAAGGTCCAAGAAAGTCAATCTCAAATTTAAAAGAAGTCAAAATCCAAGCAGAATGAACAGCAGAAGA